ATGTGTAATTTTTCCCAGACTATATTTTGCTCAAAAACAGTAGTATAGTGCGGTAGGGGTTGTCCCAGAACCCCTACTGCACTATGCTACTAAAAACGATTTTACACTACTAATCAATCGAATCACAAAGTTTGGTGACAATCTGACAAGCGAAAATAGGAAAATTGAGTCCGAAGTACCATTGGTCAAAATCGCAAATCTGGCAAACACCATAATCAGCATAGTTTACAGTGAATGATGCTCATGGCATGTCCAGGCCTTGTCTACTCCTCTGCAGCTTCCATGGCACTTGACAATCGTCTGGGATAAATTGGGCTATCTCCCTGGCAAGATACTGCAGACGCTTCGCAGAAATACCTGCTGCTGGCACAACCGGTGGCGGATCCCTCGGGACTGATGCAAGCTCAATATTCGGCTTCAGGAGCTGGAATTCTTTCTTTTCTCCATAACATTCAACACGGGCAAACAATGTGCCGGGAGATTCCGAGCACAGTCGGTAGTGCTGGAAGCTCCGGATGCCTTTGACCGGCTGGAAATAATATGCTAAAAAGGCATCCCATTCCCTCCATTCCCACTCATAGTTAGAAGGCGAGTTAGCCTAGCATTACTTATGAATGGCCTCACAACCTTGCTGCACCGTGTTGAAGTTGCTGCTGCCTTTTATTTTGCTTCAGTAATCGGCATCCACAGAGCAACATGTGTTGGCCTACCCGCATATAGTTGAGTTCAATTGTATGTGACATGCCACACAGGGTAACCTCCCGCGACAGCGCGTCCATGTTAGCGCGGTGCAGTTCAGCGCGACCGCCTTAGCGCGAGGCATTTCAGCTCTTTGCCATTTCAGCGCCGTGTCTTGACAGCGCCAATGATTTCAGCGCGAAATTTTCAAGCGCAGGACATGTCAGCGCCAATTTCTTCAGCGCAGATTTTTCCGCGGAAGGCACTTCAGCGCCGTACATGGTAATGTACGTACGGGCACCAATTAGTGACTATTAGTGACTTGTAAGAAAGGGTTTGCTCCCCACACCGGAGCTCGCGCTATTCCGCCGACTTTACTTGACATTTGACTAACTCACGACTGCCATCCAGAGCACACAAGAAGTCCATCGAACCTTCGACTCGGCAAACCTGCAAGAAGCACCACTCCCTGCTCAATACACAGTGTTTTCGGGGAATTCACCCCTCATCAGTTCAGCTTGAGTAGGCTGAGGAAGATTGTGCCTGAAGAGCACCACTTATATAGTGCTCTCCAGGCACAAACATCACCAGGGATACAAACTTACGGAGACGCTCCGTTTCCAGCGCGACAAACACCTCGTGAACACCAGATAGCAGCGTGAGTCAGTGTCGCTCCTGGACGGTGAGACAGACGTTGAGGACCCTCGGTCATTCGCAACGCTGTCACCTCCAAACCAACTAGTCGCAAGCCCGCGCTGGGCACAACAGTACGAAGTAGTGGTTGCGACTTCGGCGATGACTTGTAAGAAAGGGTTTTGCTCCCCACACCGAAGCTCGCGCTATTCCGCCGACTTTACTTGACACTTGACTGACTCACGACTGCCATCCAGAGCACACGAGAAGCGACACTGACTCACGCTGCTATCTGGTGTTCACGAGGTGTTTGTCGCGCTGGAAACGGAGTGTCTCTGTAAGTTTGTATCCCTGGTGATGTTTGTGCCTAGAGAGCACTATATAAGTGGTGCTCTTCAGGCACAATCTTCCTCAGCCTACTCAAGCTTCAACTCATGAGGGGTGAATTCCCCGAAACACTGTGTATTGAGCAGGGGAGTGGTGCTTTCTTGCAGGTTTGCCGAGTCGAAGGTTCGATGGACTTCTCGTGTGCTCTGGATGGCAGTCGTGAGTCAGTCAAGTGTCAAGTAAGTCGGCGGAATAGCGCGAGCTCCGGTGTGGGGAACAAACCCATTCTAACAAGTCATCGCCGAAGTCGCAACTACTACTTCGTACTATTAGTGACTATCAATGACTATTGACAACTTGCATGGGGTATGCTGTCGTCAACTGATGGCATTGCCATTCCTGCCAAAGACCAGGTCACAGGCGCCTTCGATTGGTTGGAGGAGATCGCCTCTGATTTAAACCTTCAACAATTGACAGTGGACACAGTGGATTGAGAATACTAACGTTCCAATGTCGCTGTGGTGGTGCCATGGAGGGGACGTCAGGACCAACAACGGTGTTGAGAGATGGCACCATCGATTTAGCCGAAAGGTGAACACCACCCATCCCAACGTTTGTGTGCTGTTGGAGCAACTGAAGAAGGAGGCTTCGCGTACGGAGCTTCTTGCCGCCAGATGCCAGATGCAAGTTGGCCAGCGCATCCCAGTCGGGAAAGCTTCATACACTCGACTTAACGATCGAGTTCGCGTCCTGGAAGTCAGACGTGCAAATGGGGAAATCACGAATAATTTGAATTTCTTTCGAATGTTGGTCGACTTTTTCATTTCTAATCTACGAATTCTCTTGTCATATCGCTATATGCCTACTAAATAATTTCAATAAACTATGTGAAAACAAGTTTGTCAAAGAATCACCAAATCACGCTAGCGAGAGTGCAGACGAGACCACTAATTCCGTGCGTACGATAATGCGCACGATACTGCGTACTATAGTACGCGCGAAAGTGCTTCGCGCTGACATTATATGCGCTGAAGTGCCTGGCGCTGACGGTACCGCACGCTGACAGTACATCACGCAGAAGTGCCTTGCGCTGACATTACCTCGCGCTGAAGTGCCTCGCGCTGACACTACCTCACACTGAAACGCCTTGCGCTGAAGTGGTCGCGCTGAAATGCCTCGCGCTGTAGTGGACGCGCTGTCGCGGGATGCACGCCACATCAGATAGCCAAGCACA